ATGTTTCCGTCCCTCCAGAAGTCATATGTGAAAATCCTAACCTCTGAAGTGATGGTATTAGAAAGTGGGGCCTTGTGGGAAGTGATTAGGTCATAAGGGTGGAGCTCTCATGAGTGGGATCAGTGCCTTTTTAAAGAGGCCGCGGAGGGCTAGCTTATCCTTCCAACTTGTGAGGACACAGTGAGAAGGCACCATCTATAAGCCAGGACATGGGTTCTCTTCAGACACTGAAGCAGCCAGGAGCTTGGTGTCTTGGACTTCCCAGGCTTCAGAACTATGAGAAATATATTTCTGTTGTTTAGAGGCCACCCGGTCTATGGTATTTTGTTATAGTAGCCCCAACAGCCTAAGACAGATGCTGAATGGGTGCATCATGTCAACGTTTGGCATTTCTTTTTTTTTTTTTTGAGACGGAGTTTCACTCATGTTACCCAGGCTGGAGTGCAATGGCGCGATCTCGGCTCACCGCAACCTCCGCCTCCTGGGTTCAGGCAATTCTCCTGCCTCAGCCTCCTGAGTAGCTGGGATTACAGGCACGCACCACCATGCCCAGCTAATTTTTTGTATTTTTAGTAGAGACGGGGTTTCACCATGTTGACCAGGATGGTCTCGATCTTTTGACCTCGTGATCCACCCGCCTCTGCCTCCCAAAGTGCTGGGATTACAGGCTTGAGCCACCGCGCCCGGCCAACGTTTGGCATTTCTATGTCAGCATTCTGTAACTTATTCACACTTTCAGCTGATAACCTGGCATAAGTCCCCAGTTTCTCAATAATGACACAAAGCCCATCAAGTCTTCATCTGCTGGTTCAATTCAAGCATCACTATAATCCAAAGTCTGTGCCGAGAGCTGTTAGAGCTGATTTATCAAGAGTCCCAAGCATCAGCAACTATATAAATGGTATCCTTAAGACTGAACTCTTCTGGAAAGTCATAAATTCTAGGACTCTGTTAACTGCAGACAGCAAACCATTAGCAAAAGCAAATGCAAAAAGATGCACTTGTTCGTCATGGATTGTGGAATTCTGTGGTCACGAGGCTGTATTGTGGGTGTCATGGTGAGTAATCATAAGAGGATGTGAGAAGCATTTGCCCAGAAACAAATTTTTTCCATTTTTATCCAGTTTTGGTGGCTTTGCTTTGAACAGATGTCACCGGTCCACGGCGGTTACGGAGGCAGTCAGAACACATTTTTCTAGCTACCTATACTTTTCTTCCTCCCTTCCTTCTCTCCTGCCCTCCCTTCCTCCTTTCTTTCTTTTCTCTCTTCTCTCTTTTCTTCTGTTTTTTACAACTTTATTGAAGTATATTTTCTTCAATGAGAGTATGTTTAAGCTGCCCAGCTCCTGACAGGAACTGGTCCAAGAATCTAAAATTCCTGCCCCTTTCATGGTTTAGAAGCCACGTGGACTGAATTCAAATCTTGGTTAGACATTTTCCCTACTGTGTGACTATAGGTAAGCAAATCTCTCTAGTTTGGCTTACTATCAGAATTAAAGATGATGAAAATTAAATTGACTAATTACATTAAAATTAAAGATGATTAACAGAGAAACCTCACTCTGGCTTCCCAAGGCTGAATGGGCCCTACAACCAGCTCTCCATTCTCCCCAGCCACTTCCTACCTATAAAAAGCATGCTGCTTTTTCCTATTACCTGTTTTGAGTTTCATCGAATATTAACCACAGGGTTGGCGTGTTAACAAGTCACAGCATTTGAAGAATCCTAATCGGCTCAGACTTTGGAATAGTTTCCTCGGAGGTGGGTGGGAAGGAAAGTGGGGAGGGAGGATAACCTTAATGACTCCTTGACCTTGAAGTCAGCCTTGCAAGTCAACTAAAAGAATGTGTCTCCCGGCAACATGCCTAGTCTCCCTCCCATGGCCCAAAGACAGCAGTGAAACAGCATCCTCAAAGGAGGCATTGACTTCAGCGTTTGCTGGATTACTGCACATTTTTCTTAGAATGCTTACGGAGGCGGTTTGCTAGTTGGTAGAGTATGTGAGCTGTGGAGTCAGGTCCCGGTTCTTTCCAGATCTCCCACTTATTAACCAGGTGGCCTTGGGCTGTTATGTGCTCATTTTAGAATAGAGATACTGACAGGCCGTGTCACTGGACTGCTGGGACAATAAAATGATAGCGATAATGGGAGTGGTTGTACTTACGGAGTGCTGACTCTGTGCAAGGCACTGGTTTTGGCACTTTATGTGTATGAACTCATTTACTCCTCCCAGGGACACTATGGGGTTAGCAGTCCATTAGCTGCTTGTGCTAAATGAGCAGATAAAGTCCAGAGAGAGGTCACTTTATCTGTCTGAGGTCACACAGTAAGGGGTGGAGCTGGGATGTGAATCAGCCTGTGCAGTCTGGCTTCACATGCTCAACCACCCCACCAGACCACTTTCCTGTGCTATATTAGCTCTTCTAAAGGAAATCATGTATGCAGAATGTCTGGTCCTCAGCAAGAGCACAATAAATGGTGATATTGAAATAATAAACGATACTTCCATTTCCTCAGGCCTCACCAGCTTATGGAGTTCATACAAACACCTCTTGCCTGATCCAAAGCCAGGCCCCAACGTCTCCTGCGGACCTCCTGTCCTTCCACACTTGCCCCTCTCTGAGGTCCTGCCTGTGAAGTCCCTCGAGGTGGCGCCTCACCCTGCCACTGATGTTGGCATCCCCCAGGCCTCTCCCCTGAGCCCTCTGGCCAAGCTCCATGGGCCCCAAGCACAAATGGGTATCTGGGCCCAAACAGTCACTACCATCTACTTGGAGACTGGTCACTTTGTGTTCCCTGCTAACTGTGTTCTGTTACATTCAACAGACATTTCCTAAGCAACTATTATACTTTGGAGAGAGTGCTAGAAGACATACAAAAATAAAGGAAGAGCTAATGGCAGTCCAACCTCCTTTGATGTCTGAGCAAATGACATTTGTGAACAAGAAACAAAAAACACAGTAAGTTACAAACAACAAATATGTTTACAAGGACAGCCTCTAGCAGCATAGGGCCACCCAATACCTACTAATACTAAGGTGCTATACAAGTTCAGTCTTTCTTATTACATTCATTAAACTTGTGAGGGGCAGGCTGGGCTCCTGTAATCCCAGCACTTTGGGAGGCCGAGGCAGGTGGATCACTTAAGGTCAGGAGTTCGAGACCAGACTGGCCAACATGGTGAAACTCTGTCTCTACTAAAATTCAAAAATTAGCCTGGCATGATGGCAGGTGCCTGTAATCCCAGCTACTCGGGAGACTGAGGCAAGAGTAATCGCTTGAACCCAGAAGGCAGAGGCTGAATTGAATGGAGATCACCTGGGCAATGGAGTGAGACTCTGTCTCAAAACAAACAAACAAAATTGTGTGGGTTATAAAAGAGGAAGTTTTGTTGTTGGTGGTGGTGGTAGTGGTGGTGATGTGCAAGCTTAGGAAAATGCCCAGACATACTTGATAGCACCTATTAGCTTTTGTACATGACAGTCTCTACATCTGAGTTCTTGTAAGGACTTTTCTTAACTTTTGCTTTCTGTCTAGTCAAAGAAAGCATTTTAACCTTGCCTGGGCACTGTAGCATTGCAATGAGCCTTCGTTCTAGCAGGTGGCCTCTCAGGGATTTTGGTATGTAGTTACTTTAAACCAGAATGGTTTTATTACCTCTGAGGCAATATTCCTCAGAGGAAGTCACTAAATTTAGAAAACCAACCCTACTCCTCTTCCAACCAATGGGACAGAAGACCCAAGAACAATGGTGTGTTCAGTGACCCAGGCTTGGCAGTGGGGAGAGAATTAGACAAGAGATTTCAAGAAAAATGAAAATTGCCTACACAGATATTAATTTTATGGCAACTGAAATGGAGGATGTTGCGTTTTTCCTCAGCCTTAAATTTATGAAAAGTAAAGGCGAAAGTGAGATATTTCCACTTGGGAGGAGGAAAGAAAATGCACTCTCAAGTTCTAAGCCAGCCTGCCTGAGGACAGTGGTTACTTAGTAACTCTCTTTAGAACTGGCTTAGCCAAATTTGGTGTTACAAGGCCCTTTGGCTTAAAAAGGTTATTTATTTATGATTGTGCTCCAATATTTCTTCTCATTCTTACAAGGCAGCTGAATATTTTTTAAAAATCAGAAAGTAACAAAAAGGTAGACAACTCAGGTAAAAAAATATATTCTGAGACAGTAGAAAATTCTATCATTGTGAACAAAAAATACTGAGAAACTCAAATTTCCTGTTTAAAGTGCCTTAAAAATTCCTATAAGACTGTTTCTGAGGTTTTCTTCAGAATTTAATTTTACATTAACTCTGACAGGGCTCTGATGCCTGGAGGAGCACCAGGGTTCTTGGTCTCGAGCTGACAGGATTAATGACATGGACACACGTGGAGTGGTTTTAAGGAGTGAAAAGTTTAATAGGCAAGAAAGAAGGAAGGAAGAAGAAAATAGCTCCTCAGTACAGAGACAGAGAGAGGAGGGATTCAAACAAAGAGAAAACCCTGTGTGCACGGAAAAGCAGCTGCTTATATTTGGATGTGGAAGGAGGTGGTATCTGGTTTGCATAGGGCCCAGGGGATTGGTTTGACCAGATGTGTCATTTACCTAGCCAGAAAAAAACCTGGCCCTCCCACCTTAGCCCTTTAGTATGCAAATATAGGTCGCTATGATGTTCTGAGCCCATGGTGTTATGTGGAGGTGGCCATGGCATTTGGTACACTTGGTGACCGGGAAAAGACGGCAGGGATCGCCACTTTTTGAGGGCCTGCATTGGCATATTGAAGCTTGCCGGCTCAGCCCTTCAAGCCACCTTTTCTGTTAGGAAAGAGATGGTTCAGAGGTTCTTATTACTGGAAAAATTCCGAGAACCTTTACCCTTACTAGCTGCCTAAAAATTATTTTTAATAGCTCCTGTATCAACTCCATGAGAATTTATAGCCCTAGGTCATTGATTGGTCCAAAGGGTCAAGGACTCAGCACTCAGTAAAAGCCCAGAGAAACCCTGAGCAGGAGAGGAGATTATAAGGTCAACAAAACATGAAGGGAGGGGACAGGGCTAACGTGTGGTCCTGAGAAGGTCTAGGTCAGCCTCCAGCTCCCACCCACCTCCCCACAAAGAGAGATCATTTTGGGAGGCGGTAGCTGCTAGGCTGCCCTAGGCCTCAGGGAAGTCTGGTCTTTTGGTCAAATGTTTGTGGAACAGATTTGGAAAAACGGGGGTAGAGTGGTGGAACTGTAAAAACCCATCAGGGAGAAGGAAGAGCCTGGGGTCTAGAGGTCAAAGGTCAGGGAGAAGGAAGAGCCTGGGGTCTAGAGGTCAAAGGTCATGCTGGCAGTGGAAGGGAAATGGAAACTCCTGTGGGCTGGAGCAGAAAGTGGAGGAGGAGGAACGGCCTGGAGGAGCTGCATGCTATTCCAGACCTGAGAACTGGAATGGACTGTCTCATGGGTTCTCAAAGCATGATCTGCAGACCAGCAACGTAAGCATTGCCTAGGAACTTCTTATAAATGCAATTCTCAGATCCCACCCCAGATGGACAAAATCAGAACTCTGCAACTGAGGTCCAGCATTCTGTTTCTGGCGTTTTAAATTTCAGTTTTATTTTTTAGAGACAAGGTATTGCTGTGTCGCTCAGGCTGTACTCAAACTCCCAGGCTCAAACAATCCTTCACCTCAGCCTCCAAAGTAACTGGGCCTATAGGCACATTCCACCACACCCAGCCCCTATTTTAATTTGCCTCTCAGGGGATGCTGATGACTGCTACAGTTTGAGAACAACTTAGCAAAATGCTGTGTCTCAGGAGACCCCACACAGCAATTCATGAAACCAACTGTTTACTGGCCTGACTGAGCTGCTGTAACAAATTATTAGAAACACAGTGGCGTAAAACAATGCAGACTTATTCTCTTTACAGCTTTGGAGGTCAGAAGTCCAAAATCAGAATGACTGGGCTAAAGTCCATGTCTCAGCAAGGCTGGTTCCTTCTGGTGGCAGTGAGGGGAGACCCCATCCCCTCGCCATTTCTGGCTTCTAGAACCCATCTTTATTCCTTGGCTTGAGCCCCTTTCTCTGTCTTCAAAGGGCAGCCACTTCAAATGTCTTGCCAGCACATTTCCTTCTCCCCTAATGCTCATCCTACTGTCAGCCTTCTACAAATGCCCTTGTGATTACAGTGATTAAAATGAACCCTCTCGGAACAATCTCTGTATCTCAAGATCCTTAACTTAATCAAATCAGCAAAATCCCTTTGGCCACGAAAGGCAACCTATTCATAGGTTCTGGAGATTAGGAATGTAGACATTTTTGGGGAGGCCATTATCCTGTTTCCTACAGAGAGGAAGATGAGAAATATGCACTTTCATTTGCTCGTATTCACATAAATAAACAGTTTTCATGCACAAGACACTAATAAATCTGATTACCTGTGAAGGATGGGAAGCATGAGGCGAAGGAATGGGAGCTAGGACTTCCTTCTCAAAGTTGACTTTTTATATTATTTTGGGCTTTGGGCCAGGCAAATATATTACCTTTTACACAATGTTAACCACCAAAAAATAAAGAGAATGAGACCCCTTTTAGTAATTTCTGGCTGTTGAACCATTCTGTTTGAATATGACATGTCAGAGATCAAACCACTGGGACCTTTGGAGTCCTAGAGTTTACAAGTACTGAAAGCAAAAGCATTTTAGTGGTGATGTAGGTAGCAGGCGAAGAAACAGCATCTTGCTTGGGCATGAACAAGACAAGATAGGCACTAAGTCAAAGATGAGGGACTAAGCTTGACCTTCAAGGAAAGTTAAAGTTTTGGACTTGGTTCATGTTTTTGAGTTAAAAAGTTCTGCAGATCTTCCAAATGCCCAACAAAGGAAGAGGGGTTGAGATGCCCATTCCTTTCTCCTTAATTAAAAAAAAATAACAAAGTATTATGTCCACTAAACCACCTTTGCAAAAATTACAGTAGTAAGGGAAATCTAACATAACTGACTCCATCTTGTTTCTACCAGGCTAACGTGCTTTTGCGCATTCTTGTGTGGAAATCATAATAGTCCTTTCCCTCCTTGAACTGATCTCCTCCTTGTTCAAAAATTGAAACCATATTTGCAAATACCAACAAAAGGTCACAAGGTTAGAATTGTGGTAGGGGCCTGAACTTAGCTAAAGAATAGGCATGAGTGAACAATAACCATTCATTGTTTGCTTAACTTGCTTTTCTGTAAGTTGATTACTGCCCCAGAGTTATATAACTGGAGGTTGCAAGATTTGTAATTTCTCCAACTATTCCTATGGATAATATCACTATTTTGAAACCTAAAGAACTGTTACTTCAAATATTTTTCAGATTTAGCATTCTGGCAGACCAAGAGATGCCACCTGGTCCTGAGACCCCTCCTCAGAACTGACTCAGCTGCATGAGGGCACGTTAGACACCCCTGCAATTTCATCCTCAGCCAATCAATTATTTCAGTTCCCAAGCCCCCTACCCACCAAAATACTCTTAAAAACCCTAGTAGCTGAATTGTTAGGGAGGTGGATTAAGAAAAATCTCCCATTCTCCTCACTTGGCTGGCCCTGTGATAATTAAGCTCTTTCTTTGCTGCAACATTTGCTGCTCTCGATGCACTGGTTTTTTTGGAAGGCAGCAGGCTGGAAGAACCTGTCAGGCTGTGACATAAATTGCATGCTATTTTCTTAAATAATAATAAATAAGAGAGTGCTCTTTGCTCTGAACATGTGAGAGAATGCCAGGCACTTATATGCTAATGCCGGTCGTTAGTTTACTGTTGAACATTATGCCATACAGTAGAGCAGGACAACTGAGATTTTAAGACACAGCCTGCCTCATGACAGGGAAATCAAGTGCATGCAGTTAAAGGAGCATCTGCATATAGTTAAACACTGCGTATACCGCCAAGAGCATTTCCAATTTCGTTATGCCCAACGAGAACTCTTCTGCCTCCCCATCTCGTCTTACTGCCCAAACTCCAGTGAAGACTCCCAGGCAAAGATGTCTCCAAGGACCATTTTGTTCATGTTCTGCATCTCCTCAGTGGTTCATCACTTATCACTTTTCCATTCTATATGTTCAACTCCCCATACACTTGGCCTCCCTGATCACCCTGGTCCTACATGCCAGCTGATACTGGCTACTCCTGACATGGAGCAAATAGTTTCAAGTGTTAGCATGCTTTTTATTTGCATTTGCAAGTTTGCAATTATTGTTCCAGCTGGGGCAGTCTGGCCCTTTCAGTCCCATGTATTACACAGGTTATGCCAGGCTGTATGCTAGATAGAGGGTTGGGAAGCAGGTCACAAAGAAAAATCAAGACATAGTCCCTGCCCCTCAAGTAACAGCCAAGTAGAGACCACCAACACACAAATACCTAGAAATGCCATAAGCACCAAAACAGAGGTATGAATAAAGAGCTAAGGAAAGACACAAACAAAAAAACCTGAATTCTTCCTGGGAAAGTCACAGAAAACAAAAGAGAAATGATATTTAAGATGGGCTTCTCAGGGTATACAGGAGTTTGCAAAGTAGGCAGGGAATGGCAACCCACTCTAAGCCACTGGAGGAGTTTAAAGTCTGCCAGTACACAGACAATCTTAATGGACAGTCCAGTGTGTTAAGATGGCAGCACCTTTTCTGCCTGGGGGAGGAGTGCTCCGGCAGAAAAGGTAGGGTTAAGTTATAAAAGGCCTCATGGCAAAGAGGACTCTGGAGGTAACTAAAGGCAACAAGGCTCTTCTGTGAAGATGTGTGTCTAGATCAGATTTGTGTTAGGGACATAATTCCAAAGGCACTGTGGAGCCCTGCGTGAGTTTAGTAGGCTTTACTGAAAATGTGGGAAGCTTCTCGGGGGGGGGGCTGCATCACTCCATGCACCATCCATCATCATGGTACTGCTGCCTCATCTCTCTCCCCTCCCTATCTGGACTCCTCAACCCTGGGAAGTTCCAAATTATTTTCCATCTATTATGCAGAGTAGCTTCTCCACTTCTCAAGCCTTAGGCCCAGACAACACTCAAGCCTATAAGCGCCTCACTTCTATGTTTAATTATCAAAGCATTTTTCTAAATAAAGGCAGTTACCTTGCTGAGATAAATTTTGATCTTGACTGTTAAAGACAATATAAATTTATCTCACCACACACGAGCCATCTATAGTATCAACAACATCTTAGATATTTTACACATAATGAAAATTATCTGTGAAGCATACTTATGCTTGAGAAATACAAGGTAGTATTCCCCAAATCATTTTAGTATTTCAACATGTAAGGTAAAATAACTACAGGACACTTCATTAAACTTGTTTTAAAAAAGGTTTATTCATTACAAAAAGTTAAATACTAAAGCTAAAAACATATAAATTCAGGTCAGGCTATATTAAAATACACACATACCCTTTTTTGCAAAATTATTAAAGGTTGAATTAAACAGATGCTTTAAATAAAATAAAGTACTCTTTGAGGACATTTTTGTCAGATTAACTATAACAATGTAGTGTAGTTTTTAAAATTGCAGTTGAAAAGTTTAGCTGTCTTGGAAGTCAAATTCATCCAATTGTTCAGACTTCAGTTACTACTCAGTATGAAGCCACCATGCTGGCTTGGGCAGAATTAATTTCATTTGCATTATGGAAAGTTCTATATTACAAATCTAGTCTCCTGTAATATGAACAGTGAGTAGTCAGAAGTATACAAAGGGTTAAATAGGATAAAGACTTTGGCCAAGAAAGGAAAGGCCTTAGTTCTACCATATAGTATCTTCTCTAATTAAAATGATTGGGGAATATATGGAAGCAGAAATCAGCACAAAGCATATACTCATCCAGAAATAATCTTTCAATTAAAAAAAAAAAACTCTCAAAACCAGCACTCATTTGTCTAAGATAGGTTGTAAGTATTTTACAATTTCTTGTTATATTAAATTGAGTTAAAGGTACTGATGAGTCTATATGCAAATGGGTTTAAACACTAATTTGATTTCTCTTCTGACTAAGCTTTGGAGAGCTGTGACATCTGGGTGTTGGTGTCACTCAAACAGGTGGTAAAGAACTTTCACAACAAAACAACACGCTCCACACCAACTGGGCACTGGCTTCCAAGCCCAATTCCACTTCAGGTCAAACAACCTTAAAGAACTATCTATAGTCTAGTTAAATGTTAAATAGTATTTTCAAGAAAATATCCTTTTTGCTTTACAGCTTATATTTTTCAATTTCCTAGGTGAAAAGTTACTGATTTTGAACTTTAAATGCTGTAATTCATATAGGGGTGAGAATATGCTCATGAAAAACAAAAGGCTCTTATTGCATTTCAGAAGTCTTAAATGTGAATAAATTTCTAGAAATCTACCACAGTATCTGTTTTTTACAATGCTAATCCTTGTCAAATGGAATTTGCTAATGATTGATTAACTCAAGTGATTAAAATACAAAAGACATAAAATCGATTCCAGTAATCTTCACTGATACAGCCCAATTAAAATATTTCTTGGAATATATCTACAGGGAAGTTTTACTGTTTCACTTTTTTTTTTTTTTTTTTTGAGATGGAGTTTCACTCTTGTCACCAGGCTGGGTGCAGTGATGCCATCTCGGCTCACTGCAAACTCCGCCTCCCTGGTTCAAGTGATTTTCCCACCTCAGCTTCCCGAGTAGCTGGGATTACAGGTATGCGCCACCACACCTGGCTAATTTTGTATTTTTAGTAGAGATGGGGTTTCACCATGTTGGCCAGGCTGGTCTGTAACTCTTGACCTCAGGTTATCCACCTGCCTTAGCCTCCCAAAGTGCTGGGATTACAGGCCTGAGCCACCACGCCCAGCCTAATGTTTCACTTTGGCAGTGTTGGTATACAAACAAGGGCTAACAGTATGGAGTACCAATACTATACTATAAAACCATGTAATCAAATTTTTGAAAAGTTGGACAAACAGTGTGTATACTAACGTCACTGGAAATTAAAGAAAAATATATGCCAGTATTGACTTACAGATGAAAATCATGCTGACAATAGACAGTAATCTGTTTTCTATCTCTAGGTTTGTGAGTTTCTGATATGATTATTTCTCTCTACATGTGATATGAAAGAAAGAAACTATCATTCTGTCCTCTATCCCAGTCCATTCTCCTATATAAGCAAGTCTTTGATTTATATCCTTTCTTTGAACTTACTGTGTAATCTTGGAGGACAAGATTCATGCTACTCTTTCTCAAATAATCTGCAGTCCTTGAAAAGACGTCAACGAATTTAACCCACTGATGTCCTAATCTTAGTAAATAACACACAAAAAAAATTATTGAGCCAACTTCAATAGCAAATTCTCTACAAAGCATCTTTCCCTATGAGCATCTTTATAAATGTGTATTCAAGTTAGGCTGGTTAGTCGCTCTTACCAACCTCCTGGTCTTACAGAATGATCAAGAAAGTACCTGTTCATCTATAATAGAGCCAGAACTGTGACTGTTTTAAAGCTAAGAAAACACAACACATTTCTCCCTTGCCAGCTGAGGTGGCAGTGGAGGCCCTGGGTGGTTCAGACCTCCCTAAAGGCGGGAATCTTCACTATGTTCTCTTCCCTCCAGTGAGCCTCCTTCTCTTTCCCTTATTCCCTTCTCTTTTCTGCTTTCAGAGAGAAGCTGTTTGAGCAAGAAAACATAGGATATTTCCTGCAAGGAAATAGATGTAATTTGCGGGGCTCAGCACAAAATGAAATCATGGTGCCCTTCTTCAAACATTATTAAGAATTTCCGTAGGGTGACGGATGCAGCAAACCAGCATGGCACGTGTATACTTATGTAACAAACTTGCATGTTCTGCTCGTGTACCCCAGAACTTAAAGTATAATAATAAAAAAAAGAATTTCTGCTATAGCAGAGCCTTGAACCAAGTGTGAGGTCCTTCTACATGTGGAGCCCTGTGCTGCTACACAAGCTACACACTAAGAAAGCCAGCCTGACTAGGTTCCCT